ATCAAATAAATGCAGCCTTGGTGAGCATAAGAGACTTTAAAAACACTAAAAAAAACATACAGACCCCAGATGTTTGAACAGTAGTGTATGACTGTGAGTGTAAAAGAGTTTCAAAAGTTCTCTATGAGTACAACTTTTGTAAGAAAACCACCTTGTGATAATTATTAGCACTGGTCTGCAGGAGGAGCTGTTGAGTGGTGATCAATTTCTTTCTCCGTCGATTCTCCTGTTTGGCTTCCTGCACATTTTTTTCAAGTTCAGTTCGCTGTTCTTCTCCTCGCTGGACTAGAGAGAGTGCCGCCTGCAGACGCTCCTCCAGTCCTGACAGCTGAGCGCTCAGCATGTCCTGGCAGTGCAGCAGGTACTCAGTACTCAGCTGAGACATACGAAGCAGTTTGATCAAAGAAGGGTCAGCAGGTCCTCGACAGTTTGGACACCGCTCGCCCTCCACAGCACAGAACGTTACAGTCGTAATGAAATTCTGAAGCACATCGACATCCATGTCTCGCTCAACACGTTCCACGTCAAGAGCGGAGAGACGCCTCCAGTCTATGGGCTCAGTTCGTGAGCGGAAGCGGAAGGGCTGAAGCAGGTGTGCTGGATCCCAGGGCGGTGTGGTGGACAGAGCACTGTAGGGATCACCAGGGGAGAACTGGCCCAACATGGTCAAAGGTTTGAGACAGAGAGGTGAATGAATGTGGTGATTCCTAAACAGAGGCTGAATGGGGAGAGAAAACACAATATATTTAGATTAGCTATGACAACCAAAGCAGCATATCTGAATGATTTTCGTAGGATCATGTAAAACTGAATAATTGAGTAATTACTGCTGAAAATTCAGCTTTGCCATCCAGGAAAAAATACATTTTAAAACGTATTAAACTAGAAAAAAAAGTATTTTAATTTATAAAAAATATTTCACAATATTACTGTTTCTGCTGTATTTTTATTAAATAAATGCAGTTTTGGTGAGCATAAGACACTTACCAACAACAACCAACAATGTATAGAAATGTATACATTATTAAAGCTAAAAGCAGACAATTTTATTTGTTAGATTTATTTAATATATTATTATTACTCAAAAAAGGGAAAGAAAATGTTCGATTTTTTCACATTTTAATGGAATTGATAAGTGAAAGAAATATATTTCTGTAGATTAGATGGCAGACACCATATTGTGAAAGGCAAAGAGTCCATCTCTATAACAACTAAAAGCCATTGTCAGAAGCCACTCTTGCACTATTGCTGTTAGGACTGTAGTTCCAATAAAAAGCCTTCCAAATTGTCAACAATAAAATGTGTGTTATAGAAAAAAAGCTGCATTCCTTATTTTATGTTCTGTGCAATAGATATACCTTAGCATTGTCAGAGTAAGTATATCTGCCATAAAACAGA